AGTTTGCTTTATCCAGTCGAGAGATTTGCGGTTATGCTAATGCTGCAGTTGGCTGATTGATTCTGCACTCAGTCTGTATTTCACACAGCATGATGTGAAACGAGTTGCTCGGTCTGCTCCCAAGGGCGGAGCTAGGGCCCCCATTTGGACATTTCAGAGTAATCCCTAACACTCAAAAAGATTTTCCAAATGGACACAATAGAGAAACATAAAGTTTAGAAATTCTGTACCCTGTACCAACCAATCATCTCATCAGAGTAATAAATGTAGAACAAGCTAAAAAATATATATATTAATAACCCCATTAATTTAAAAAAACAAACAAACAAAAAAAAACATTGTCATAACTCAAGTAATGGACATGTTCAGCATAAACATGTTGAAACATTTCCGCATAGTTTAGTTTTCCACAAACAGAAACTCATCTATTGGTATAAAAACACAAAAACACACAAGCTTTATATTTAAAAGAGTTCTCAAAATGGTTCAAAAAAACACTTCTAGTTTAGCAAGATCTAAGTAAAAACTAAAGATGAACAGCTTCCCACACAGGTGATGATGGCAGGAACTGGGAATATATGGAGCCTCCAACTAAAGAAGGAGTCTGATTGGTCAAGTCAAGTAACCTTTTTTGTGTAGCACTTTATATAATACTGATTGTGTTAATACTTAGTGCTGCATTCAATACTATAGATCATGACATACTCATAGATCGATTACAAAACTATACAGGTATCCAAGGGCAGGCTTTAAGATGGTTTAGATCCTACCTGTCCGATCGCTACCACCTTGTTCATTTAAATGGGGAGTCATCTCAATTATCACCAGTAAAATATGGAGTGCCACAAGGATCTGTCCTAGGTCCTCTCAGAGTCAAACAGGAAAATAGCTTGTCAATAGTGCAAGAATACAATAACAATAATAAAAGAGTCATTTTTCCAGCTAAAGTCAGTTCATTAATGATTCAGTGATGTCATCATGCAGTTCAGCTCTCTTCCAATAGTGTCTGTGCAACCAGTCAAGCGTCCCCAACTAAGCAAGCCAAAGGCGACAGCGGCAAGGAACCAAAACTCCATCGGTGACAGAAATAGAGAAATACCTGAGAAACCAGGCTCAGTCGCGGACCAGTTCTCCTCTGACCAGATGAAACCAGCATGGCGTGGTTTAATTCCAGGCTGCAGCACAGGTCAGATTGAGCAGAGGACTCGACAGGTTCCCGCGGTCTTGTGCCGATGGTCATCAAGGTGATGAGGTCTTCGCAGGGGATCTGTCTCTGGGGCGCATCTAGTTGACATGGTCTCTGCTGACATTCAGGGCTGTAGAGGTTGTCTCTAGGTGCTGATCCACCATCTGATCTGGATACAGACTGGATCTGGTGGCTACGGAGACCTCGGAATAAGAAAGAAACAGACTAATATTAGCGTAGATGCCAGTTTTTTTACAATGTAGCAAGTACATCGGGTGTTATGGGAAGTGTTCCCGGTTCCGGTTGTCCGAATAAATGCAGCTTAACAATCTTTTAACGGATTTGAATATTAGAAAGGCATTAGTGTGTTATGTGTAAGCCAGGTTAAAGAGATGGGTCTTTAATCTAGATTTAAACTGCAAGAGTGTGTCTGCCTCCCGAACAATGTTAGGTAGGTTATTCCAGAGTTTGGGCGCTAAATAGGAGAAGGATCTGCCGCCCGCAGTTGATTTTGATATTCTAGGTATTATCAAATGACCAGAGTTTTGAGAACGCAGCGGACGTGGAGGACTATAATGTAACAAGAGCTCGTTCAAATACTGAGGTGCTAAATCATTCAGGGCTTTATAAGTAATCAGCAAGATTTTAAAATCTATACAATGTTTAATAGGTAGCCAGTGCAGTGTTGACAGAACCGGGCTAATATGCTCATACTTCCTGGTTCTAGTAAGAACTCTAGCTGCTGCATTTTAGACCAACTGGAGTTGTTTTAGTAAGCGTGCAGAACAACCACCCAATAAAGCATTACAATAATCTAACCTTGAGGTCATAAATGCATGGATTAACATTTCGTCGTAATTTAGATATATTTTTGAGATGGAAAAATGCAGTTTTACAAATGCTAGAAACGTAGCTTTCTAAGGAAAGAATGCTATCAAATAGCACACCTAGGTTCCTAATTGATGACGAAGAATTGACAGAGCAGCCATCAAGTCTTAGAGAGTGTTCTAGGTTATTACATGCAGAAGTTTTTGGTCCAATAATTAAAACCTCTGTTTTTTTCTGAATTTAGCAGGAAATTACTAGTCATCCACTTTTTTATATCAACTATGCATTCCGTTAGTTTTGTCTTCTACTGGTTATTTCTTCAAAGCAGAAAAGCTGATTGAGCTGTCAGAAGATGTTGGTCTACATTTGATTGCATTAAAACATTTTAAATAAAATAAAGTGTAGATTTGTGAGTCCAGACATAAATATTCCAGTCATTTCAGTCTGATGTTAAAACATGCATTGTTTAAGTGTTATGACTCGAAGAACAAGTGTATTAATTGTTATATTTACATTCCAGTGTTATATTTTTTCCACTGTATAGTGTGTTACTGCAAATAGCATCTCTGTTGTTGTTTTTTTTTAATTAAGGAGGAAGTATTTTTTTTAAAGATAATGCAAGTCAGGCAAATCAGAACACAAAGTAGGTACATGACAGGTTTAACCTCTAACTGTCTAATTGATGAGCTGATGGCAGGATATAACCTGAATGATCAGAAAGCATTAATGTGCAGGCAGCACATTACTATCACTAATCACTAACTATTAGTTTTAATTCCCTTCTACAGTGAATAAAATATTCTCAAAGCCTTTAAAACAGTCAAAGTTATTTATTAAGTTGTCTAAGTTGTCTAACATGGATTTTATAAAAACTTATAAAGTTATACTTATATTTTCCTCTTACACCCTGAGTAAAGTTATGTTAAAAATACTGGCCATTCAGAACTTCTACTAGCCAAAATAAAAATGTGAGAAATTAAACAGATTATCAAACAGTAATAACATGGCAGGTGTAGTACTTTACATGCAGATACATTCACACCATATACTGTATAACATTTTTTTTTTTAGGAATCCTTCTGTGGTTTAATTGCCTTTTGCTGACAGTGAAGGATAAAATTAGCTTTGTTGTAGTAACAGTAAGAAAAGGTATTTTGCTTTCTTTTGCAATTATTTTAAAGAAGAATGAAAAAAAAAACGTAGGTTAAAGTCATCAGAGTAAAACAATCATACTGTCACAGTCGAGAGCAGAACAACTGCCCGGAAAAGATTTAAAAAAGAAAGAAAAAAAAGATGATAATAATTCTAAAATACACACATGTAGAAAACATAAAATAACAAATACATAAAGAGCATACCTTTTAACAGTCATAAAAGTTAGTTCTTCATCAAATATAGCACCTACTCAGACAGTACATGATTTTGGACACAGTGTAGAAACTTAGAAACTAGACATCGGCCCTCAAGGAGCAGGACTGGACAGCCCTTTGATAGGCCAATATTGGCCAGATTATTTGTATTAAATGAATAGTCAACAAACAGAATCTCGACATAGGATTTAGTGCAGTCCAAATGTTCATATACATTGTAAATCAAAATGTAGTGCAGACATAAAATATGTTGAGAGAATCCTCTGCAGATTTGCAAATTACAAAGGAAACTCCATCCAGACATCGCTGTATCGTTGTTAATTTAACAGAGAATCAGAGAAAGAACCACCCAAACAAACACAGGCAGCCCAGCGGGTCCAATCCAGTGCTCTTTAGCAGAAGGGGAGACAAATATTTTAGTTTCAAACTGTTTAAAACTTTAAAACTCTCAATGCCTTCTGTTTTACTTACTATGATGTTCAGTGTCACTCCTGAGTTCATCAGCTGAGCGAGATCCTGTTTTAATTTCTGTATAAGAAATTAAAACGTCAGCCATACAGTTTAGCAACAAAGTGAACGAGAATGACATATAAACCTTGATGGTTTGATGAGTTTTGACTTTACCATGAATGTCAAGTTTGTACTTCAGCTCTGTTGGAGTATTTTTGTGTATGAATCTCAAAATGTACGTCCCAGCATCATTGAAGATCAGATGTTTCAGAACGACATTACATACTCCTTTTTTACATACTTTGTCATGCTCATTCTCTTTTTCTTCCTTCTGACAAAAAGAGATGTTAGCAAAGTGACTGGATTTTCCCTTTCTGATGAAACGAATATTAGAAATCTCATTGGCCTTATATTGACATGGCAGGGTGACGCTGCCTCCCTCTTCTCCCTGTATGGTGATTTCGTCAAGAGGACTTTCTACAAATACAGATTTATTCAATACAGGTATCAATACTGAAATATAAATGTGGTGTTTCATTTTTATGTAATATGCAGAGAAATTTTCACCAATCCACAAATGTCCCATAAAGTCACTTGGTTCAGTGAAATAATCGATTAGAATAACTCTGAGAATGAAAAAAAAAACTTTTTATTAACATAAATTTCACTGACCGCTTTGCTTGACACAGCACAGCTGAAGTAGAAGCAGGATATTCAACCATCTGAACCTGATGAGAATAAGAGCTGTTATGAGACAGATACAGACACACATCACAAAGACATTAATACAGCCATAAAATACTGCTGAGTAATAAAATACTATATAACTGACCACAAAACAGCCGATTCAAAACCTTCAGTTTCAATCTTTATTTAAAGATTTAAAAGAATAAGAATAAGAAACATCAAACGATAATCTGAGTCTTTGGTTTAATAAATTACTCTAGTGTAATACTCAAAATGACCCATCAAACCCAAAGGCCCAATAGACACAAACACAAAGTTTGTGAAATTCAGTAACCTGCTACCAACCAATCCTCTCATCTGAAGATCAGATGTTTCAGAACGACATTACATACTCCTTTTTTACATACTTTGTCATGCTCATTCTCTTTTTCTTCCTTCTGACAAAAAGAGATGTTAGCAAAGTGACTGGATTTTCCCTTTCTGATGAAACGAATATTAGAAATCTCATTGGCCTTATATTGACATGGCAGGGTGACGCTGCCTCCCTCTTCTCCCTGTATGGTGATTTCGTCAAGAGGACTTTCTACAAATACAGATTTATTCAATACAGGTATCAATACTGAAATATAAATGTGGTGTTTCATTTTTATGTAATATGCAGAGAAATTTTCACCAATCCACAAATGTCCCATAAAGTCACTTGGTTCAGTGAAATAATCGATTAGAATAACTCTGAGAATGAAAAAAAAAACTTTTTATTAACATAAATTTCACTGACCGCTTTGCTTGACACAGCACAGCTGAAGTAGAAGCAGGATATTCAACCATCTGAACCTGATGAGAATAAGAGCTGTTATGAGACAGATACAGACACACATCACAAAGACATTAATACAGCCATAAAATACTGCTGAGTAATAAAATACTATATAACTGACCACAAAACAGCCGATTCAAAACCTTCAGTTTCAATCTTTATTTAAAGATTTAAAAGAATAAGAATAAGAAACATCAAACGATAATCTGAGTCTTTGGTTTAATAAATTACTCTAGTGTAATACTCAAAATGACCCATCAAACCCAAAGGCCCAATAGACACAAACACAAAGTTTGTGAAATTCAGTAACCTGCTACCAACCAATCCTCTCATCTGAGTAATCAATGTAGAACTAAAACTTATATTAATAATCCCAATAATAATATAAAAACATCATCATAATCATTGTCATCATGTAATCACAGTAATGGACACATTCAGTATAAACATGTCAACTCATTTCCGCATCACTCGCAGGTTTAGATTTCCAGAGAAACAAAACTATTAGTATAATAACACAAAAACACACAAGCTTTATATTTAAAGGAATGAAAACTTACATGATGAAAGTTCTGCATGAGTCTTACATTCTTTGTATCAAAACTTTGTGAAACATAGCATGCTTAGTGAGATTTTAATACAAATCAAAACTGAAAGTATCACAGGTATAGTTGGTGCCTCCCATTAAAGGAGGAGTTTGATCATTTGATCATTATTTTCCTCTTATCCGTTATTCTTTCAAAGTAGACTGAGCTGTCCGAAGTTTTACATATATGGTGAAAAGCTTAGATGAAATACAACTCAACAGTATGTACACTTAAATAATCCCTGCATATCTCATTCCTCTGGCTGGGAACTACTATTGGAGAGCCCATATTTCCTGTTACTGGATCTTTTGATCTTCTCATATAGTATACCAAATCAGCATTGTTTATCCCTTGCCTTATAATAACTCTAGTACTAGCATATCTAACATCCACATAGGGATGCAAGGCCAGACTATAGTTTGGCAAAAATTATTTTCATATATGCTCAGGTCTCTCGCTGCTTCATCCCCCGTCCAACCAAAACTTAATTTTTGTGCCTTTCCTCTTTCCCAACTGGCCTGTAACATCCTTTTGGTTGGGTAACTATCTCCATTCCCCTTGAATTAATCCAGTAATTAACGAGCAGCTGCTTTCAGCAGAGACATGACATTTCTTCTGTAACGAGCACACAGGTGATGTTCTCGTTGCTCCTTCACATAATTTCAGTGCCTAGGTCTGTATTTTGTCTAGCCTCGCTGTTACAGATTTTGCTGCTGGTCCAAATTCCACACTCTCGGGGGCGGACTGGCCATGGACGTTCTGGAGAAGTCCGTTCGACGGCAGTCGGCCTGGCTGGTTCATCATCAAAGAAAAAGTGTCAGATTAAGTGACGTTGACTGCCGACAAAAGGGGGCGCTTATGCAATCTGTTTTTGCTTATAATAAACCGAAACTGATGCGAAGGAGAGAGGGCTCACGATGGCGAGCAAAAACGTGAAGATAAAGGTGTTTGGGAGAAGCTAAAAGAAAAGAAAAAAAGCGAACAGTTACATCAGGTTACCTTTGCCCACCTCTCTCACTATACACAGCACGTAGCCTATAGCACTATAGTAAAATCCCAGGACACCCCTAGTCCGAGCATTCACTGCTATTTATCACTCAGCATTGTCTGGCATGAATATCCCATTCATTCATAAAGAGACAGCAGCGATTCTACAACGGGTTACACTTGAGAGATATTGAGTTAGAAAATAGAGTGAATGATGTAGCCTATAAGGTGATTGCTCCGATTAATGACACACACACACACACACACAGAGAGAGAGAGAGAGAGAGAGAGAGAGAAAGAGAGAGAGAGAGAGAGAGAGAGAGAGACATATGAATACTCAAATTGAATAATTCTGTAGTTTCAGGTTTCTAGATTTTATGTTTATTATTATGTAATGAACATTTTTGCTTTCTGCTCTTTTTATGTAGATTTCAAGTATTTAAGTTCATATAATAATACATTTATTTCCATCCCCTGCTGAAAAAAAAACAACAACAATAAAAACCATTATTAGAATTTTTAATGGTTTTACTGGTTATAATGGAAATTGTATTGGTTTTAATGGAAATTGTAATGGAGCCTATAGAGAGAGAGAGAGAGAGAGAGAGAGAGACATATGAATACTCAAATTGAATAATTCTGTAGTTTCAGGTTTCTAGATTTTATGTTTATTATTATGTAATGAACATTTTTGCTTTCTGCTCTTTTTATGTAGATTTCAAGTATTTAAGTTCATATAATAATACATTTATTTCCATCCCCTGCTGAAAAAAAAACAACAACAATAAAAACCATTATTAGAATTTGTAATGGTTTTACTGGTTATAATGGAAATTGTAATGGACCCTATTGGTCTCTACTGGTAATTGGTTGCCTATTATTGTTGTTAAATACTATTATTGTTAAAACCACTAAATCCTAATGGTACATGTCCCAAAACACGCTACAGGAAACCATTATTTAATGGTTCTTATTTTTTAAAGTTGATGGTTTGTAATGTTTGTAATGGTATTTGTAATGTAAACCATTCAAATTTCTGTGATGGTTTCTATTGTTTGTTAGCAGGGTCACCATGGGTTTTGTGATGTTATTTGCCATAAATGATTGCTGTAATATTGTGAGATAGTAGCGGCTGTTTGTAGTTGTGGTGGGCCTATTTGGGAGAAAATCCAGGGCCGTTTTTTACTCCCAGTTTGTGCCTGCACACTCCTACAATCCAGCCTTGATCTTATTAGGGCAACATATGTTAGGAATAATTGATGATGAGCTGTTGAATTATTAGCATCTCATCTCAAGCCATATTGCCAATCCCAAAACATCAATTAGCAAAAAGTAACACAGGCGTGAGCCATTGATAAAGCAGTTATTAATGCAGTTATACAGAGATTAATTGTAGCTTTGTGATTGAAGTGTGTGTGAATTACCATTACCATAGCATGCTCAAGCTCAATACCTTGAGCTCCCTCTGTCAATGAGGGACTGATCTGAGGGAGTTTGCCATGGAGTTTAGGAATGCTGCAGAGGGGCCCTCAAAGCCCACTCCAGTCCGGGAGCTCTCAGAGTACACTACAGAGCCCTCTCCAGTCCCGGAGCCCTCAGAGTCCGCTCCAGAGCCCTCTCCAGTCCAGGAGCCCTCAAAGCCCGCTCCAGTCCGGGAGCTCTCAGAGTCCACTCCAGTCCAAGAGCCCTCACAGTCCACTACACAGTCCGCTGCCGACCAGGAGGTCGTCCCGGCGCTGACCAAGCTCCTAGCCCTGCCGGCCCCGCCCTGGCCTCCTGCCCTGCTGGCACTGCTCTGGCACCCTTGTCTACCTCTGTCTCCAGGCCCTCTTCCACTACATGGGCCTGGCCCGACATCCCTGATCCACATCCGTTCTGCCTCCCTCCAGGATTTCTTTTGTTGGAGCGTCTGGAATCCGCTCCTCCTGTCTATTGTCTGACCCTGCCCATCTTGTTACCTCATTATTGTTTAAGTTGCTCCACCTGTGTCTCCCTCGTTACCCTCCTTGCTGTTTCCCTATTTATTCTCCTGGTGTCTTTAATCCTGTGCTGATCCATTGTTTTTCGTCACTTGTGCTTGTGGTGTGCTTTATGTCTACCCATATTATTGTTCCTAGCCTGCCTGACGGTTTTTCCCGCTCAGGGTTGTTTTTGTTTGTTTTTGTTTCATTTTATTATTAAAAAGACCCATTATTCCTGCAACTTGAGTCCTCGCCTCATCTCTTCACATGCCCCGTGACACAAGGTACATCAGTCCACAATAAAAGGTGAAAAAGAAAACATACATTCCAAAAAGATGTAACAGAAGGTAGGAAAATATGTAAACAAAAACCCTTGGCAATAACAAATGTAAGAGTTTAACTAGAGTTTAACAGAGTTTATGTTGAGTACATTAATGCTGATATTATATTAGAATATTCAATGTTAAAGGGGTCATGAACTTGTAACGAGTAGAAATATGGTGTGGACCCTTTAAGAGCTGCGCACTCCCGGTTGAACTGTCGATCTGCATTGTATGTGTGATTCGAGCACCGCATGTATGCGAGTTGTCTCTGTTTTTCTGTTGCTCCTTTAAAGTTATTTTCTTTATTAAGTAACGGTATGGACGGCACAACGTTCAAGACGGACAGTTTCACAAGTTCCGTGGGGAATAAAGCACCAGTTGTGAAATGTCAATCGCCTCTGATATCAGTAAGCTAAGTGAGCTATCCCTATTTGTTCAGTACACACCGTGTTACAAACTGCATTTTTTAAAAATAATTTTATAATGTTCTCTGTGGTTCACTTGTAGTGTTAGCATGATTTTACATCAAAACACATCATAATTTAGAAGTAATAGGCTATTTTCTATCCTGTTTTTGAACCTCTCTGCAGAACGGTCTGTTTTTATAAGCGGGGCGCATTCAAGACTCGCAAGTAAATGGCCACTGCTGTGATTGGCTAACAGTTTCGCTTATTAAAATAACAGATGGACGCTGCTGTGACGTACTCTGAAAACAACATAGGTTATTTGGGTTAAAAACAAATAAATACTCAGTACAAACACACACAGTGAGCACACACCCCGAGCAGTGGGCAGCCATGTGCTGCGGCGCCCGGGGAGCAGTTGGGGGTTCAGTTCTTGCTCAAGGGTCTCACTTCAGTCGTGGTATTGAAGGTAGAAGAGAGTGCTGGTCATTCACTCTCCCCACCGACAATCCCTGCCGTGAACCTTTGGGTTACAAGTCCGACTCTCTAACCATAAGGCCACAACTGCCCCCATTGAACAGATAATAGTGCAATAGTGGTAAAAGCACATTTAATCACACTTATGTGTTGCAACATTACAAACAAACAGTGTTTCACTGATGCGATCCGGAGCTCTTTCCTAATTTTACTGTTTACACCGGACGCAAGTGGCACAACGCAACTATACACTACAGAACCCATTAAAAATCGCTTAACAGGCAGTGCTGTAGAAGCCGGCATTGATCTTCTCCTGCGGAGGGAGGGTTTAGCCACACTATTACATCATAAAGTGGCACATTCCAAAACAAGTCGTTTTCTGACCTTAGTTTCAGTAAAAGCTGTTTTTAAACTAAAGAGAAAGTTTTCAGTGTTTTTATAGTACATTGACATGATATATGTCAAAAGATCAAGGGAAATTTGATTTCTCAGTTCATGACCCCTTTAATTCAGCAGTATCCATTCTGTGTTGTTGGATATTGTTTTGAGGACTTATATTATGACAAGGGTAAAAGGAGTAAGGGGGAACGGAATATAGGATAGTAGTATGTTAAAAAAGAGCTCCTCCGTGTCAGAGGGTTTTACTTCCACAAACACAAGCAGACATCGGGACTGAACAAGAACAATTAGCAGTGTGGAATTTAAATAAGGTTGACCATTACTTTCATTTGATTTATTTGCTGTATGGTACACTTTTTGCGATGTGGTAATTGTGTTCTTTGTTTCGATAAATTAGTACTAGTATCAGTGAACATCATAATAATGTTAATAATGTAGTTTGTGTAAACAGCATGCTTGCTTTTTTATTTCAGATGTGAGAATAACAGTGTAAAAGAAC